CAATCTTTCACTCTTTAACTTTGCACATCTTCACCTTACCTGCACATCTCCCACATGTGGGTATGATGCTAATCAGGATTTTACCATCAAAAATTTTCCATAGTCTTTGACCAGAGCCATTTCTCCTTTAGGGCCACATTCTCATAGCTGCTGTCTTCTCCACTCCTTCTCTATCAGGCAGCTAGTTTCACTTCACCCAAGCAGTGAGGTCTTCCTTGAGCACCTTGCACACACTCCCTGATTTCCATTCTGACCATTCCAACACTGTAGATTACCTTCCATCTCGAACTTTCCACGACCTGGGCATCAGTATCATGACCTCACAGACCTTCTTCTTTGGCACCAGTTCCTTGACAAGAGAACTCTGTTAAAGGACAGAGGATACTGTGGGCCATCTCCCCTGCAAAGTCAAGTGTGTCATCAAAAAGATTATGGGGGGGTTGGGCACCGTGGCTCATGCTTGTAATCCCAGCACTCTGGGAGGCTGAAGCAGGAGCACCTCTTGAGCTCAGGAGTTTGAGACCAACCTGAGCAAGAGTGACACCTCATCTCTACTAAAATAGAAAAATAAGCCGGGGCATCATGGCACATGCCTGGAGTCTCAGCTATTCTGGAGGCTGATGCAGGAGGATCACTTGAGTCCAGGAGTTTGAGGTTGCTGTGAGCTATGATGATGTCACTGCACTGTAGCCTGGGCAACACAGTGAGACTCTCGAAATAAAATAAAATAAAATAAAATAAAATAATAAAATATGGGATAAGCTTAGTGCCAGGCCAAAATATGAGAGGCATACAAGATCCAGTCAGGACCAAAAGAATATGAAAAGTTTGCAGAGTCCTATCAGGCAGTAAAAAGATTAATGGAATCAAATCAAAGCATGAAGAAGTTAATGATATGGGAATTCTAGCTACCTTAGGTAAGTGATTAAAACTGGTTTGTGAGCTGCATAGACTTGTTGACACAGTTTGTATAAAAAAAGGTGTAATCCATTTTGGGATTCCAGCAGAATCATGAAAGTATAGATCTCAATTCCCACTTTCTAGTTTTAAATTTCCAAACAACAAATAATTATCAAGGCCTTAGAATAACTTCATTCTCCTTGAGATGATAAATCTCCTTCACTAATTAAGTAGATATCTGGATACTCAGGAAGGTTTAGAATTAAATATGGACACAATGAAGTAAATCAAACCTATGGTATTTAGGCTTTTATATAAGAACTTTTTCCATAATTATTAGAGAAATGTATTTGTTATTTAATCTGAGAGATTGCACATGTGACTTACATTTGAAATATGTGTTTGGTTTAGACATGTTACTTAAGTGGAAAAGTATAATAGAATTTGAATAGTTATTAAAATCAGTTTTAGAATATTTAATAACAATTGTGACTCACATTTTTATAGAAATAATTTATTAGAACTACAACAGTTAAATAGGAACTGAGGAAGGCCTAACTTGTCAGGGAGGTAAGTGTGCCTGTACAGACACTTGAAACACTTGCAAAAAATCAAATATATTAAGTTTATAATTTAAAATGTGGTAAAATGCATATAGTATTTAAATAGAACTACTTAAATAATTTTAATTTGTTCAACATGAGTTAATTGAACAACAAAAGAATTAAAAACAGTAAAAAGATATCTGAAAATAATTGTTCTTATTTTATATAAAATTATTGGATTCTTTTTAAATTATTGGATTTGTAAGTGGATGACTTAGATGTTGACCCCAAAGCCTTAAGAAACTTTACCTTAAAAATTTTTTGAATATTGATTTATAACCTAAATAACTCTAAACAGCCCATTCTGAACCCAAACTGAAGCACTCAGCCTAATCCTTAACACCGCTCGTTTTCTCTAATTTTTTTTCCTACTTCCAGAATATGCTACAGTTTTCTGTTCTACCCCAAATATTTCCTTTTCTCCCCAACCCAGTTGAAGTTCTGTCTCAGATACTAGAACATCTTCTCTAAAATTCAACTCTCAATGATTGCTTCTTTGCTTTGAGATTTTAGTATTCTTTTTCTCTGTTTCATTCACTTTGGACTTAACTGTTGCAGTCAGAACAGCATCTCTTAACCTACCTGAAGGGAATTTCTTTGCATCTTTATATCTTTTTGTTAGATATTGGGCAGACCAGTTGTCTACATCAAATCCTTGACTGAGTGATTTAATGTGTTTCAATAACTCAACAAATTTTTGTTTTTAATGGATTTATTGAGGCATAATTTGCATGCCATAAATTTTTCCCTTTGAAATACACAATTAAAGAATTTTTAATAAATTCTTTTTCCTTTAAAAACTTTTATAGATTTAGGGGACTCAAGTGCAATTTCCTTACATGGATATATTGTGTAGTGGTAAAATCTGGGTTTTTAGCTTACCTATCACCCTAATAGTGTACCTTGTAGCCAATAGGTAATTTTTCGTTCCTCACCACCCTCCCAACTTCCCACCTTTTGGAGTCTCCAGTATCCATTATTCCATTCTGTGCATCCATGTGTACTATTGTTTACCTCCCACTTATTAGTCAAAACATCCAATATTTGACTTTCTGAGTTATTTTACTTAGGATAATGACCTCCAGTTCCATCCATGTTGTTGCAGAAGACGATTCCATTCTTTTTTATGGCTGAGCAGTATTCCATGGTATATAAATACCACATTTTCTTTATCCAGTCATCTGTTGATGAATACTTAGGTTGATTCCATGTGAATAGTGCTGTGATAAACGTGTGAATGCAGGTGTCTTTTTTAATATAATGATTTATTTTCCTTTGAATAGATACCTAGTAGTGGGATTGCAGGGTGGAATGGTAGTTCCATTTTCAGTTCTTTGAGAAATCTCCATACTGTTTTCCACAGAGATTGTATAATTTACATTTCTACCAACAGTGTATAAGCATTACCTTTAATCTTCATCCTTGCCTTCTGTTGGTTTTTTTACATTTCAATAGTAACCATTCTTACTTTAAGATGGTATCTCATTGTGATTTTAATTTGCATTTCTCTGATGCTTAGTGATGTTGAGCATTTTTTTGTATGTTTGTTGGCTGCTTATATGTCTTCTTTTGAAAAATTTCTGTTCATATCCTTCTCCCACTTTTTAATAGAGCTATTTGTTTTTTTTCTTGTTGAGTTATGTGAGTTACTTGTAGTTTGTGGATATTAGCCCTTTGTCAGATGCATAGTTTGCAAATATTTTCTCCCATTCTGTGGTTATCTGTTTATTCTGTTGATTATTTCTTCTGCTCTGCAGAAACTTTTTAATTTAATTAAGTCCCACTTGTCTATTTTTATTTTTGTTGCATTTGCTTTTAAGAACTTAGTTATAAATTCTTTGCCCAAGCCAATGTCCAGGAGAATTTTTTTCTTTCAGGATTTTTATAGTTTCACATTTAAGTCTTTAATCCATCTTGAGTTAATTTTTTTATATGGTGACAGATATGGGTCCAGTTTCATTCTTCTGCAAATGGCTATCCAGTTTCCCCAGTACCATTTATTGAATAGGGTGTCCTTTCCCCGGTGCATACTTTTATCAACTTTGCTAAAACTTAGTTGGTTGTAAGTATGTTGCTTCATTTCTGGATTCTCTATTCTGTCTCATTAATCTATGTTTCTATTTTTATGCTAGTACAATGCTGTTTTGATTACTAAAGCCTTGTAGTATAATTTGAAGCCAGGTAATGTGATGTCTCCAGCTTTGTTCTTTTTGCTTGCTTAGGGTTTCTTTGGCTATTCGGGCTCTTTTTGTTGTTGTTGTTACATATGAATTTTAGAATTATTTTTACTAATTCTGTAAAAAATGGTATTTTTAAATTTGATAGGAATTGGATTGAATCTGTAGATTGCTTTGGGCAGTATAGTTATTGTAGTGATACTGATCCTTCCAATCCAGGAGTGTAGGATATTTTTCCGTTTGTTTGTGTCATCTACATTTTTTTTCACTAATGTTTGGTGGTCCTCCTTGTCAAAATCATTCACTTCCTGGGCTAAATGTATTCCTAGGTCTTTGTTGTTGCTGTTATTTTGGGGTTTTTTGGTTGCTATTGTAAATGGGACTGAGTTCTTGATTTGGTTCTCAGCTTAATCTGGTGTATAGATATGCTACTAATTTTTATATGTTGATTTTATATCAGGAAAGTTTACTGAAGTCATTTATCAAATCTAGGAGTCTTTTGGAGGAGTTTTTAGGGTTTTCTAAATATAAGATCATATCATTAGCAAAGAGAGATAATGACTTCCTCTTTTCCAATTTCTTACCAGATTGTTTGGGCTAGGACTTCTAATACTATGTTGAATAGGAGGGCACCATTTTGTTGTTGTTGTTGTTGTTGAGACAGGGTCTCACTCTGTCACCTGAACTAGAATGCAGTGGTGTCATCATAGCTCACTGCAACATCAAACTCCTGGGCTCAAGTAATACTCCTGCCACAACCTTCTGAGTAACTGGGACTATAGGCATGTACCACCAAATCCAGCTAATTTTTCTGGCTTTGTAGAGATGGGGTCTCACTCTTACTCAGGCTGGTCTCAAACTCCTGACCTCAAGCCATCCGCCTGCCTCAGCCTCCCAAAGCACTAGGATTATAGGCATGAGCCATGGCACCCAGCCTTTTTCCATCTTTAACACTATAAAACTTCCCTCTTAGCACTGCTTTTTCTGTATCTCAGAATTTTCAGTAAATTTATAGAGCGTTATAACTTGTCCCATAATTCAGTTTTAAAATATTTCAATCACCTCCAAATTCTCCTGAGCTTGTTTGGAGTCAATCCCCCTTCCTATTCTCAGTTCCAGATAATCACAGATTTTCTTTCCTCTCCATACATGTTGCCTATTCTGGACAATTTATATAAACCTAAAACTACTTCTTTCACTTAGCATAATGTTTAAAAGTTTCATCTATGTTAGCCGTATATCCATATATATATATTTAAATTACAGAATAGTATTTCATTTAATGAATATTTCATCATTTTGTTTAACCATTCACCAGCTGAAGAACATTTGATTTGTTCCCAGTTTTGGACTATCACAGATAATGCTGCTAGGAACATTTGCGTACAAATATTTGTGTAAGTATATGTTTTCATTTTCTTGGATAGATTTTTAGGAATAAAAATGCTGAGTCAAATGGTAAGCTTATGCTTAATTTTTTAAGAAATTGCCAAAATATTTGCCAGGTGGCTGTGCCATATGTATTTTTACACAACAAACATTCTGAGGCTTACTTTTCTTTTTATAGACAGTGTTGGTTTCAAAGACAAATATGCCATAGTCTCTGCTTTTTAGGAACTCATAGTCGAAGACAAATGTAGCAAATTGCCACAGACTTGTTTTCTTTGGCCTTGTAGAAGATGGGAATGCATTTATTTCTAAGTCCCATAATATTTAACTATCAATATTATCAATATTAATGATATTTAATTATCTCATATAATAAGTCTAAAAATAATTATTTCTTCTTAGGCGTAGCAATTCAACAATGTCATTAGTAACTACTGCTCTTTGCATCTTTTCCCTCTGCCATTCTCGGTGAGCTGACTTTCATTCCAAGGCCAGGCTGCAATGCAGCACAGCTGTTGCAGCTCCAGGGATCGCGCACCCTCAAACTACTGCTCTCACAGCCAGAGATGTAGTCCTCCTTACTGTTTTTCTTTTTATTAGGGAACAAAACCCCTTCCAGAAATCTCCATAATAATTTTCCCTTATATTTGTTTGATTGACACTGGGTCACATGCCTATTTCTAACCAAATATCTGCCAAAAGAGAATGAGTTACCATGCTTGCTTAGACTAATTTTGCTTTATACTCACCCTTCATCACTTGGGACCAGGTGAGGAATACAGGTTATAATACTTCCAATCTCACTATTATCATGGCTTCTTTGACAGTATTTAGAATCCACGTTGGGACTGCCACTTTATCTCCCTGACCCTCAGTTTCCTGCCATGTAAAACAAGGGGACTGGAGTTGGACTAGGGTCAGGAAAATCACTGGATATTCCTTCCAGCTCAAAAGACTTGCTAGTACCTTAAAGATTTTCAAAATTTCCATTCTCCATTCCAGGGGGGATTTTAGGGGGTCTAGCTCCATTCTTACTTGATTCCAAGAATTGCAATCAAGGTATAGAGATGGGAAAGAAATTTGTCTTTTCATTTTTGGTCAGACAAATCTGCTTTTTTCTCCATGTGACTTTGCTTAGAGTCACAGCTTATATTATCTTGGATCTTAATATAATTCTATTGAGATAGCATTAAAAGAATTAGAATCAGGATCTTCAATGTTAAAACCCACTGGCTTAAAATATGTCTTTGTGGTTGATTTGCCTACTATTTTGAAAGCACCATGATACTTAAATATTCTGGCTGCTAAATATGACAGGTGTCTGATGATCCTCAGAACAGTTGTCTAAAAATAGAACTTGAGCCTGGATACATCCTCTGGCATAGCTATAGGCAATCACCACTATAATTAATGTAAATGGACACCGGATAGCTTTTTTGTGAATTCTAATACAGCACTTTCATTGTTTCAAAAAAAAATTTTGAGATTAAAACCTAGAATTTTATGACTTAAAGGAAATTTTGTAGCCTATTGCAGAAAGGGTAAGGCAGAAAATATTCTGTGTCGAAGGATGTACATTTGGTATTTTTCCTGTGAAATCCTTAACGTAAATGGCACGATGGGATTTTCTTGGTCTCAACACAGGTGATGGGTGTTGAGGCTGAGGAGGCAGCTAGGATGCGACTTGGAGAAGAAACAGATTTGTTTTGCAAGGTTTGTGGAGAGCTGATGGAGGTATGAGGCCAAGAGGAGGGGTATTTATTTGACACGTATGTTGAGGCCATTAATATCTCAGCACTTTACTCTCATGATCTCACACGATCATCACAGGAAACCTATGAAGTAAGTACTCCTCTCCTCATTTTACAAATGGGGAAACAGTTATGATTAAGAAAATTTCCCAAGCTCACACAGTTATTAACTGACAGAACTGGCACTCAAACCCAAGTTAAACGAATTTCAGAGATATGCTTTTAATGACTGTGTGACAGTGACAACCATGGGATTATTGGTTTAAAATCCGGTATCCATTTATATTAATTATAGTTGTGATTGGTTTAAAAAGAAAAGCAGTATTGAGGTGTATTATCTATCAGCTTAGTGAAAAGTGCTGTTGAGTCGTTATTGAAGAGTGTAGTAAAATTGCAAAATAGATAACATGAAAAGATATAAAAATAATTATAAATACTTACATTTGGGGTAAAAGGTATCAAAATAGCCACACTCCGTGGAGGGTAAGGAGCTCTAAGCAGAGATGTATCAATTAGGGCTTTGGGAGCAGGTGGGGGGATGGGGAGTTATGTGGAATCCGAGGCGGGGGAGGAGGAGAATGTAGTACCTGGAAACAAAGAAATGGAAAAAGGTAGAAGTTAAAAGTTCAATGAAAAAAGAAAGAATGAAGCTACTAGAGGGAAATGATGAACGTACTGCCAGTCGCCAGGATGTCAGGAGTTCTTACAGCTGTGGGGAGAAAGTAATGTGTAAACTGGAAGCCAGTGATAAGAGCAGGTTAATGAAGGAGTCAAGCCTCAATGGGAAAGAATTATAAGGGATAGAAGGAGCAAGAGGCTTGAGGAAAATATTATGTAGTACTTTTAAGCTTGACCTGCCACCTATAGCAAAAGCAATATGCTGAGCACAAAATTAAACTGACTGAACTGTGTTAAGATGTACTATTGTTTTATATCCATATGCACTTGGTGTGTACAGTTGTAAAGAAAAGCCTCGGTGGGCGGGAAGCCCAAGGATTTGGGTCAAGTGCTAGGTATGTTATTTGCTGTCTATTTGCTGTGCTACCTTGTACAAGTCACTTGTGGCCTCTGGGCCTTTATGTCTGCATCCGTAAGATGAGTTGTTCTTCGCCTGAAGTGGGATAAGATATGTGAGAAGGCTGAGTGCATGGTGACTCTGCGTTGCTCTCTGTAATACTATTTTGAAAGCATTTCAAATGAAAAATTTAATGAACTTATAAATTAAAAGATTCAAAAGGAATAAAAATGTATACAATGAAAAGCAATTGTCCTTCCCACCTGTAACACTCAGTCTACCACAAACAGATCTCCTCTTTCCTTCCAGAAAATTATATATAAAATCTCATTTATTTTTCACTTAAATAGGGGTATGCTACACCTCGCTTATTTCATGTATAAGATATTCTAGAGATCATTTATAACAGCACAGGTAAGCATATCTCATTATTAGAATGGTTTGAAAGTATTGACTTATTTAACCCGTCTTCTCTTGATGGATACTTAGATTTTACTCAGTTGTTTATTACTAACCACTTTGCAGTATAAAATCACATTGCAATTTAACGAACATTAACTAATTACTGTGTATATACCCAGTCTTCTTTTTAGCATCGTTAGATAAAGTAGGCACGCTCCTCGTCATCCAGGAACTCGTAATGCAGCAAATGACGCTGGCTGATACTCCATGTCCAGACCTGAGGACCCAGTGCGACCTCTTGTATAAACATCCTGCTTAACTAGAAATGTCTTTTCCTATTTCCATATTGCCACTTTGCTTAAAAATTTCTGGTCTGTCTTTCTGTTTATGTAAGATATGCAGAATTCCTTTCTGGGGGGTCTCTTTATATCTCTTGATCCTCTTTTATCTTTGCTACCAAAGGGTTTGCACATCAGTGAAAGGAGTGTGGGTGATTTGTGAGCTCTACCACATTTGGAAATATGGGTCACCAATTTGAAAAAAAAATTGGAGGTAAAAATATCATTATAATATGCAATTGGCATATGAATTGCAGATGCAGCTATTATTAAAAACCCTGTGGATGTAGAACAAATGCAAGTAAATATAATAAAATATTTAAATATAATCAAATAATGATAATTGTATTAATAATACTTCCAATTTGCATGATAATTTACTTAAAATATTTTAATGTATATGTTCCAATCCACTCAGATTGTTGGATAAATAAACAGACTTGCAAATGCTTTGGAAACAAAACTTTATCATTGTGATTTTAAGAAATAAAGTTAAAATAAATGTTAAAGTTTTATAACCATAGAATTTGAGTACCAGGAAAAAGTTAAGAGTTTATTTGATCAAATAGCTCTTAAAAATTCTATGAGTCTTGGATCCCTTTGAGAAAAGCTATACTCCTTCTTCCCAGAAAAATAAAATTAACGATATAATTTTGGAGGGTCCATAGATGCCCTGAAACAAATCCGTGTCCCTCTAGAGCAGTGTTTTGTTTTATGTTTGAATAGCTTTACTGAGATATAATTTATATACCATGAAAGTCTCCCATTTTAAGTGCAAAACTTAATGAATTTTACCATATTTACAAAATTGTGCAATTACTACTACAATCTAATTTTAGAACACTTCCATCGCCCTAAAAAGAAATCTTAAGTCCATTTACAATCACTCCCCATTCCTACCCTTAGCCTTACACAACCACTAATCTATTTTCTAGCTCTCTATTTTGTAGGGTAGTTTTAAAAATATTTTACTTCTATCCACAATAATAAATGTGTTTAACCTCCAACTTGCAGATGCACACACAGAGAGAATAAAAGTTTATAGAACAATACTCTTGTTCTGTGCAATGCATTCTCATGTATTCCAATATAAAAATTGATTTTATGACCAACTAATGGATTACAAGCTCAGTTTGAAAAACTTTGATCTAGAGGACAGACCGTAAGTAAAAGCCCAACCAAATCAAACTCTGAAGCAGATGGCTCCCTTATTTAACAGGTGAAGAAACAGGTCCAGAAAGGTCACTTGCCCAAGATAAAAGCCAGGTCATAGTGGAGTCAGGATTAGTATTAAGTTCTCTTGTCCTAGGCTACTTCATTACTTATTCCACTTCTGATTTCCATGACCTAAGAGCAAGCACAAAAGGGGTTTTTATAAGGAGTCACAACAAAATGATCATTTAATGTGTTACAGTTTGAGGCAGGAGAGGAGAAACTTGATTCTTCCTAAGGACGTGGGTGCATGGGTTGGGGAGCAGTGTGAGGCTGCTCTGGACCACAGCAGGAAGGCACTCCTGTTGCAAGGTGACCAAAAGTGTTACCAAAAGCTCAGTGCTTGTCCCCGAGGCTGAATCAGTGAGAACGGAGAATGAGTACAAGTGGTTTGAGGAAAAGGAAAGAGAAGTGTATTAATTTGATGGCAAATGATGAGGGAGCAGACTAGCATCTCAAAAAACCACCAGCCAGCCTTTAAGCAGAAATACAGGGATTTTTAAAGGAGGGTTTTCAGAGGTTGGGTGTCAGTGATCAGTGTCACATGTCATGGCTTTGGGCTACTGCTGTTTAACTATAGTAGGTGGTTTTTGGTCAACCTTATCTCCAGTGAAGGTGATCTTGTGATTTCCAGTCAATTCTTTTGAACCATCTCCTGTGGTTTAAGACACTAGAAAACAAAGATCATTTTTCTGCCCCTTTGATCACTGGCTTAGGGCAGGAATGCAGGTTCTAATTCCCAAAAAGGATGGGTGGGGGTTTAAAGAGACAACTTGTGATACATTTTGCCCTTTTCCAGACCTTTACCTCTGCTACTGAAGTGCGTCCTAGAGGGCACCGCCTGCGGCCAGTTGCCTCTGCGTCCTGTTCAGGTTGTTAGAGTTAAAGCCAAGCAGCCTTTTCCACTGAGATGTCTCTTGTGGCTCTGTTGCCCGGGAGGTTCTGGCACGAGCGAGGGTGTTTATAATCTTCTGCAGTGACTCTGCAGTCCCAGCAGAAGCTTCGTCATTTGCTCTCGGCAGAGCCTGCAGACTTTCAGCCCATCTGCACTCGGAGCACTTGCCTACGAGAGCACTGGCATCCTCATTTGCCTTTGCTGCAAGTCGAAATGTTCGCTCTCCACGTACTGCAGAATCTTCAGTGTGATGATTGTGAAACCTATTGCTTTCCATTCATATTTTGGGTAGTAGGCCGCAAATTAAAGGCTGACGGTAGGTGCCAGTGTTAAGAATTCAGATGTAAAGCAGATAAAGCGTACAAATAATTGATAATAACTGAAGAGAGCCATGAAGGAAAGGTACAGGGCCCTTGAGATCACATAAAAGGGGTACATGGTCAGGTACATGGTACATGGCCTGATAAGTAATGAAATCCCAGGTTAATTATTATGGTTCACAAGATGGAAGACAGAAGCATTTTACATTTAAGAAGGGCCCTAAGACACCCATTCCTGGGCTTTGAATGTGGCTGAGTTTTCTGAAAAGAGGTGACTGAAGTACAGTGAGAAATTTCCAGAGCAGCTATCAGCTTCTTCATCAGGGAGATGTACAATTAACTGTTTTTGTCAACCAAGGCAGTTATGGAGAGGAGTCACAAGAGATTCCAATCCCAGAACGAGGAGGAACGGAGCGAAGGGGAAGTCAAAGAATGTGCTGTTTATCTTCTTGCTAGAGGAAAGAAGCAGACATGTGGGAGCTAAATGCAGTCTGGTTTGACCACAGTGTGAAGGGACTTGAGGAATGCAAAAAAAAAAAAAGTCTTCGAAGTTCTCTTAGAAAATTGAGAGGAAATAAGAAAACCGGGAAATACTGGATTCCAACAAAGTGAAAGAGAATTGACACTTGAGTCAGGAGAATAGAAAGTAGAAGAATGTGATAAGAGGAATAGGAGATGCAAATCTACACCAAAGACAGGCAAACATGATAAACCTGAACATGTGACATCTGCACTTTCTGGAGAAGAGGTAGTGTGCAGTCCTGAGAATAACGACACATCCCCCAAGAGGAATCAATACCTGGCTCATAAGAAAGGAGAAGACAGAGAAGGAAACAAGCATGGGGCAAAGAGTAGAATGCTGGCCTGGGGAGAGTCATGATTCATCACAGAGGGCTTTAAATTAACCTTATCGGTTAATTCGGGTGAAAATTAACCTTTTGAGTAAAAAATAGGGGTCGTGAATCTCTGTATATGGCTATATGTAGATTTGATGTGGCCTTTGCTTGTCTTTCTACAACACAAGAGTTGGGTTGGAAAGCCTGAAAAGACTTGTTGAGCCCCCTTATTGGAAAAGGAATGGATTTTGAAGCATATTTGGGGAATAAGGTTCTAGGGGGAGAAACCGGACAGACTTGAGGCATAGGAAAATTGTTGTTCACGTTTTCCAATTAACTTCTGTGACTCTGGATGAGTGAAAAGGATTTAAAATCCAACAACAAGGAAGTCTCTAAATCATGGTTGCAATTAATAGGAAGATAGATTTTAGGCTGGGGGTGGGGCACATCTTATTAGAGTGGAGAAGAATGTATTTATTTGCCTGTCTAGAGTTCTATCATCTGAACATGAAGGGGATAAAGAAAGGATAACAGAAACACCTAGATTAAAGTCTGTGGAAGAGCTGGTTGACATGAAAAGAATATTATGGGAGCTTCTGAGGGGTTTACAATTGAAAATTGTCAAGAACCAAAAGTAACACTTGAAACCTTAAACCTTCATCTCTAATGTGATATGGACATAGATAGCAAGCAAGGTGAACAAAATGAGCCTAAAACCATAATCAGCAATGCAGGGGAGTAGTTGAGGCAGGCCCGTGAGATTAGCTATTTTTCCCTGTGGAGCCAAGTCCCTAAGATAGGGGTCGCTATAAAGGATAAGGAAACTGATAAGAAATAAAGAGAATAAAAGAATATATAGAGACTAAGGTATAGTTTATAGTTTTATATACAAAAAGATTAGATATAACATAGCGGGGTATTTAGGAGACTGGCGTATCTTTATGAACGCCAGCAATATGGTTAGATTTATATAGGTTTTTATAATCATAGACATCAATTATTAGTTGTTAGGGTAACATATTTGCATACCAGGGAATGTAGTTGTTAGAGGATATAGGTAGTAGGTTGGGGTCAAAAGTGTTTTTAAGGGGTTTTTAATCTATCTAGGTGAACAAACAGGTATTAAGTCTTTTAGGGGCTAATTTTTAAGTTTTAGTAGGTAGTTGTCAATTAACAAAAGTATAACAAAAGAGGTATAATGACTCTATATTTCTTTGATTAGTTATGGTGGACTTAAAGGCAGACAGACAGGAGAGAGCAGGAAGCCCATCTCCAAGAAACATGTTGTTTATAACCACCAGGGCCCATCTCTGGGCAAAGGGCACTCAATGTCTCCGGCTCCCATCCTGTGGGCTGTATTTGCCTTGTCTTGTCTTTCAAGACACAGGGAAGCTCACAGATTTTGAGATACTGGAAGCCTTCCTGGAAAACATCCCCACCAGAGATTTGAGAGCTCCTCCATGATAGCAGCCTCTAATAAGTGAACCACTGAGTCCATGCATTCCTTCAGGGCAAAACCCTGCAAACTCCTCTTTCTGTCTTTAATATAGTAATATAGGGAGATATAATAAAATAATGGTCTTATGAGCCACATCTCATTAATTCCTCAACCATATTTTCCCAACACAGCAGGTGTGAATTCAGATGCATCACTCAGTCTACTGTGCCCCAGCCCTCGATTGGGAAAGCACAGTGACAGGGCGGGGAGAGAGGGGAGGGGGCCTGTCAAGCCGCTACACACCTGGGAGGGAACCCTGCCCTGCTGGCACAAACACCCTGCAGAGCAGGAGAGAGGCTGCAGGGAGAAGAAAGGCATTTTGTTGTTTTACATGTACAACTGAGGCCTCTGGAGAGGCAGGTAATACAAATAACGCGTTCCTGATACACAGACCCCCAAACTGTCACAGCAACAACGCGCGGTGGTGAGGGAGCGTG